TCATTTAAAATTGATCGCTCTTGTATGAGACATAAATAATTAATACGTATCTCGATGGATCATTATAGGTATGATCCTTTCTTGTGAGATATTTGAACTAGATTAATAAGTAATTTATTGTATTCAAATAAAGTGTCTTAAATTTTATAGATAATTTAATATTTTTATTTAATACTTTATTCTTATGTATCATATACAAAAAATAAAAAATTCACAAATCAACAATGATACATAATGTCAACATAATCATGGAAAAAAATAAATTAAGGCAACAATTTTAAACTCTAATTATTTCATATAAATAATAATTTAATATTATCTAATAATCAAAAGAAATTGTAAAATAAATTACTAATTTGATACTAGCTATACCAAAATCTCATTGAGTTCAAACCTAACTTACCTTTCAAAATAGTTCATGTTGCATTTTAAATGGATAACAAAAAATAAATAAAAACAAATTTTACTAAATTTACTTAATTATACACATAAAATTTAAGCTAAAAGTACGTAAATCTTAAATACCATATAAGGAGAGTATATACTTTCAGTAGACTCTAAACATGATAAAATATTTTTTTATAAAATAAAATAACAGAATTCATGTACACAAAATATAATAATTATTTAATCATGCAAAATATTATATAATAAATATTTAATGTCATTTAAAATTTTCATAAAATAATAAATAAATGTGACAAAATTTCAAAACTAACAGACAAACAACGTCGAAAATAGTTGCAAAATGAGTCCAAATGGGTCAATTTCTTGATCTGGTACTATTCACTGATTCAATACTGTGCTAGCTCAATATTGTTCACCAAGTCAACATTATTTGTCTTCTAGTTTCAACTGGGTTGAACTGATTAATTTGAATCAATTTAGTTCTATTTCAATTTTTAAACCAATTTTGATGATTTCTTTTGCAATAAACTTTTAAACAGGCAACTAACATATGAATTTACAAAACCCATGCCATAACCTGTATCAAAAACACATAAATTGCCATAAATTTGTGAACAAATTTTTATGTTCATAGCCATTCTTGACTCATTTTTATTACTTGATTTTCTTTCTTTGATTTTTCATGTTTTCCTTAAGTATTAATGTAATTAAATGCTTCAAACTTTAATTAACACATATATTTACAAAACCATGCTTCAAATTGCATCATAACAAAATGAATCAACATCAATTTGAGCCAAAATTTTTGGATAGAAACCCATGCATAACCCGTTTATAGTTTTTCCTCAATTGATTAATTAAAACTCAAATTTCATATAATTAAAACATATGTTTCAATTTTAAAGCACATGGGTAACAATATTCAAGTGTCAATTCGAATTAAAACTCATAAAATATCAAAGTCTTAATTAAATCTTGAATTTAGTTTAAATCTTGAACCCAAATCTTTAAAACCTGATTTCTCTCTCTATAAGATAAATTAAAAAATGTTTTATACATAATTTTAATTCTCTCACAAAAAAAAATAAATAAATGTCCCAAATCAATTTTGAGAAAACAAGATCAAAAGGTTAGATTGTGACAATCATAAAATTTAGCCCAAAAACTAATTTGATGCAAAATTAAAATTTAAAAATCATAAATTTGGATCCTAATTTCACATAAAAAGCTCTTATATCATATGTAAATATAATCTTAAATCCCAAAAATCATATGTGAATATTAGAACACCAAATTTAATTCCATTGCATACCTGTTTAGACAATAATATTTGATGTGTGAAAAAAACAACAGTCTTCGATAGAGACGAGATCTTCCTCTTGGTTATTCTCTTATGGGCAGTTCTTAAGGGGTATATACCATTAATTAAAATTAAAAAGGAAACCTTAGCAAAATATTATTAAAATTGTAGAAACCTTCCCATTAAAGGTTTATTGGCCAAAGGCCTACACAACCAAAACCACATTAACCTAATAAAATGTGCAAAACTCATACTTAGGTGATCATATTAAATTATTTGGGTTCTCGTACTTGTTTTGTATTAGAACTAAACTCCTTAGCTAATTTTATTAAATTATTAAAATCACCAATTAATAGCAATTTACTTGTTGAAAATTTTAATATATGTGACTAATAATTAATGTTTTTGACACATTATAATTTTATTAGGTATTTAGGTGAGATCATTAACTTCACTAATAATGTTAGTGTAAAGTATCAAAATGTATGACAAAATAAAAATTCAAATATCTAATTATAAATTTTATTCTTTTAAGTATAAAAATAATAGAAAGTATATAATACAAAAACCATATATTTAACTCTTTTAATTTAACTGATTTTAGGACAAAATTTAATTAAACTAAAATATATCACAGAATACTTTGTTAACGAAAATGGTAAATTTCTATTCTTTTTATCATTGATGTTAAAAAATCAACAAAATTAAAAGTTCACTGACAAAATTCGACATTGACTCACAGTAAAATAGCAAATTCACCTCTATCCTTTATTTTAGCTTACTTTGTACATTAAAAATTTTTTCTCTATTTTTTTAAACATTGTATTCTGTGAGAAAAATAAAATGTAAGGACAAGATAAGTGGGAGGAAAAAATAATTAATTAATCATAATTTAAAATCGTATAAGAATTATCAAAATTTTATACAAAATTTACAGTTATAAATAATGGATTTCTATATAATTTTTTATTTTGATTGAATAAATTGTAAGATAATTGTAATATTATAATAAAAAAGATTATAGATGAAATGTTCTGAAAGGAAAATATTGAGGTAAAATACATTTTTATTTCTCCTTTTGGTTAAAACTTAAAAGACTATTATTATTATTATTATTATTATTGATGGGTTACCAATTAAAACATCAATTTTGCTATTATTAATTGAGAAAAGATTAGCATCATTGTTTTAAAATCAGTGAAAGTTTTCACTATTCTATTCAAAAGTGAATAATGTAATTTTAATTAAATTGTGAAAATTTAATGATTCTAAATTAAATATAAAAATCATTTAAACAAATATTAATCATAAATTTAATTAAAAATACATTTATTATCTTTAAATGAAATAATAAAAACTTTACACTGATTTTAAAACAATGAAGATGATCTTTTCGCTAATTAATTCCCAGTGTCTACTCTTTATTGCGGCTTGAATAGCGTATGGGGCTCTACCAGCTTTAAAGTAAGCCAATAGGAGCATTGTTTTTAAGGAAAATCAATCCAAACCAAAATATTTTGATTTATAAAATTTTGAATCCAAACCAATCTAAATTATAAAAAAACTAAACCAAACCGAAATAATTTAGTTTGATTTAATTTCTTATTTGGTTTGACCTTCTAACAATGTAAATTAAAATATGAAAACAAAAACAATATTATCTAAAATTTAATTAGAGAGTGTACTGTAAATAATGAATCTTATCCATTTAAGTAAATTTTATTCATGCAGTTTGAGATAGCAAAGAACCAACTATGGGTAAAGAAAAAGATTATAGAATTGAACCTGTACACAAAATGAGACAGAAAAGAAAGAATGATATACACCACGTAAAAGTAAGCTACAAAAATGTTGTAAATTAATATATATATATATATATATATATATATACACTCAATTACTAGCAAACAAAAACGAATCAATGTTGAGACTTGAAGAGGATTCTTTTCAAATGAATATTAGTTATTCATTTTGAGAAAAAAAAAATGATAGAGTGCAAGGATATTGATTTTGGAGAACAAATTAGAGTTAAAATCTTAGCATATGATTAACTTTTCAAATGAAACCCTACATTAAAGAGAGCTTATACATTTTTTGGATAAGAATATTAATGTATTAAAAACTTATACAAATAAAATAATAAAATATTTATATAAATATAAATATCATTATATTATTTATTTTTAATTTCAATTGGTTTCAAAATTATAGAAAACCAAACTTTTAATTTGGTTTGGTTTTGAAACCAAACCAAAATTTTTAAGTTTCAAACAAACCAATCGAAATCAAATGTTGATTTGGTTTGGTTTTTTATTTCAACCAAACAAATGCTCGGCCCTTCGTAGAAGGCCCTCTTTTAGGCCCCATCCCATCATCTTTCTTTGAAGCCCGCTTAAAAGTTGAAATGATCTTACAGAAAGAAATTAGGCTCCAGCCTTTGTAGAAAGTGGCCACTTTGATCCTGGATGGAACATAATCAAGTAACGGGTACCACATTGGGGGCCCGAAGAAAAGATTTAAAAAGAAGAGCGAGAACCCAAATTTTATACTACTCTTCTCAAATATTGTAATACCAAGATTAATTTGAAATTGAATTAATTAAATTATGTTATCTTTGTTAATAAAATCAAAATTTTTAATTTTAAAAATTAATTGATTAAAATTAAGTTAATTAATTTTTTAATTAATCAAATAATAAAATAAAATAAATTTTATTTTATTTTATTTTTCAATTTCTTATATTAAAAACAAATTAAATAAATTCATTTAATAAAAATATTTAAATGCTAAACTATTAAATTAAAAACTTTAATAACTTGTAATAAAATGGATAATTTCATATATTTTAATTATGTCTATAAATTTATTATATTTTAATTTATATTTTAATTAATTAGTGTTTTGAAATTGGTTAATAAAAATAAAAAAAATTTTAAAATTATTTTTAATAATTAATCAAAATTAATTCAATAACTAATCAATTAATTAAATTAATCAATTAAATAAATTAATTCAATTAAAATCAAATTTTAAATAAATTTACGTCCTAAAGCACAACCAAAAGGACAGTGCTATGAATTTTTCGCTTGTACTACTATGCTTTTTTAAGACTTCTAGCTAAATTCAAATTTTAGCAATTAAAGTGTCTTTACGACTCCCAGCAGCCAACCTGATGATTGCCAATGGCAAAATAAATCAAGGGAAAGATATTTCCATGCTTTTCTTTTTTTTTTTTGAGAAATGGTCAAAACTTAAAACACTTGCACGAAATTAAACCTCAAATCTCTTGCCGCTTGGAGGTTGGTGGATTTATATCTAGGATATCATTGGTTCTTTTCTTAATTCTCATCCGTAAAACGAAAGTTTAGATAAGGTGATAACCCCACGTGGCTCAAACCCAATTCTCTCCTCAAACTGCAAACACCAACACATATTCCCTTTCCACTTCCACCCCAACCAAAGCCATGGCCTCCCCCACACTGCTAACCCCAACTTCCAAACTCAAACCCCTCCTTCCCATCAAATCCAAAGCCACCCCCGCCGCTCAAACAGCGTCTCCTCCACCGCGACAACAACCCTTACGGCGCCACTTCTTGTCTCTTGCTGCTGCCACCACCACAGCAACTCTTTCTCTTGCAGGGCTTCTGCCAGTGACACCGGCAGTTGCTGCCCCGGATGAGGAGTACGTGAAGGAGACTGCTGAAGTGATCAACAAAGTGAGAAGCACCATCGGTATGGACAAGAATGATCCCAACGTTGCTTCTGCTGTGGCTGCCCTTAGAGAGACATCGAATTCTTGGGTGGCTAAGTACAGAAGAGAGAAAGCTTTGCTGGGTAGAGTTTCTTTCCGTGATATTTACTCAGCATTGAATGCTGTTTCTGGGCATTATGTTAGCTTTGGCCCAACTGCACCAATCCCAGCAAAGAGAAAGGCTAGGATTCTTGAAGAAATGGACACCGCAGAGAAAGCCTTATTGCGAGGAAGATAAACACTACTACTGGTGGTCTCCACTCAGGCACTCACTAATGGCAGCCGGATTTTTTTTTCTTAAACCTCAAGATTTAACAGCTTAAATGGCACTTATTTAATCTATCGACTTTGAGACCGCAAATTGAGGCTCAGTTTGTGAATTATGAGAAGGGAAATCTCCGATTCACTGGTAGGTTTTTTCTAAGATGGTTATAAATTGCGTACTATATATGTTTACTAGGAATTGTATCTCTACCGTCTTCTAGATTGTCAGTTTATGGTGCTATGGATATCATTGTTAACATTCTGTATTGAAGAAAAAAAATGCTTAAGTCGCATTACCATAATTTGGTATTTGAATATATGCTATTAATCCACCTTTTTAATTGGCTTGGATGAAATATTTGGGGATATTCTTCCCCAAATCAAATTACTTTCTGAAAATTTGACATGCAACAACATAGATTTCAGTTGTGTTTTTTTTTTTTTTTTTTTTGATAATCAACAAGTTCTTTGTCGCCTTGAGAGTTTTAACGTCCAACATTTTGAAACATGCATATATGTAGCACTTAGATTTAAAACCTCTCCTTAATCATTAAAATAAGACCTCATCAGGAAGAGCTTTTCTTGTTTTAATAAACAATAAACTGGCTGAAGCGGTTTGATGGGTCATAGGTAATTTTTCCATATCTCAATAGGGCTGGGTCCAAACTTCCAAACCTTTCTTGCTTTCAACCAATGAATGGATCCTAGCATGCATGTGCAATTAGGCCCATTTCAGGCCGTTGGCTGGTTTATCAGGCACTTTCTGGGCTGAGTTAAAAGCCTGCAATTCGGAAAGGGGAAAAATCTTACGGGGAATACGGCGTGAAGGAGAGGATGGCAACAAAACCCAATGTTCTTTTCATTTGTTCTGAACGAATTTTCAACTCCTTCCGGCTACAATTGACGAGCCAACTTTTGCCAGATATAGCCTGCAGCTTTGATTTCATCTTTATCATAAATTTGACTTTACTTTTTATATGGATTATTATTAATATCATCATCTCAAAATTGTCACCTCTTTCAACGAATCAAGTGCTAAAATAGGGGCATATAGATCGTGTCCTCTAATCCGCAGGATTTCCAAGAACGAAGGGCAAAAATGAGTTTCAGGAGGGTATGACGTGAGAAAACAGAAGCATAGGAACCTCATTTATATCATTCAGTTTCACCGACTTAAAAATTTGTACGAGCAAAATGATCACAACTCAAATTGTTAAAGCAAAGTACCTGAGATTTTTAATCATATATGATCAATTTAACAATTTTAAATTGATTTAGTCCAAAATAACCAAAATTTTTATGTCATTTGGAAAGAAAATAGAAGCAGAAAACCAGGATTGATTTGGAAGCTACATAACGTAGGTTAAACACCCCCTCCCCAGGAGCTTTGAACATGATCTCAATTAAATTAATTGGCGCTCTGTTATACTAGTACGTGAAATTGAAGCTAAGGAACGCCTTTGATTGCGGAGGGATAAGGCCGTTAATGCTTCCGTCTCGTTGAGTTAATGCCGCCATTTGACTAGAAAACTACAATTGCATCCTTCATCAGGGTTGAAATGAGGTCCAAATGGCTAGCATAATTATAGGGAAAAAAATTTGCTTTTTTTGCTTCCTTACCGGGAGGAAAGAAAAGCTTTTTGTCTGAAAAAGTCCATAAGTTCTTATTGAACTTTATCTTCTATTATATAATTTGTGGAACATCATTCATACATGCTTTTTTGATAATTCATACATGCTTTTTTAACCTTTATAGCAGCATCCATTAAAATGTTTAGTAGAAAAAAGTCATTCAACAAGCAAGGGTGAAAGGGCCGTTGAGATGAGGCTTTTCATAGACCTAATAATGGCAGTGCTAATTAATGTTCTAGATTAATTTATTAGTAGTTGCTTTTGGGCATTGGTTCTCTTGCGTTAAAAAAAAAAAAAAAAGATGTAATACTCTAACTGCAAGAAATGTGATTTCTTCAGCAACAAAAAATTATGTTTTGCTGCAAGAAAATATTTGTATTACAAAAAGTATTTATAATATTTTTATTTACACTTCTATTAGAAAATAAAAAAAATTGTGTGCAACATCTATTGCAACATGAAATTTTTATGCTAAGAAAAAAAGATTAATAAATTGTTGCAAAATAATGCAAATTGTATTGTTTCTAGTTTGGTTACCAAAAAGAAGATTTTGCAAAGTGTTGTAAAAAACATTTACTACAATTTTATTTAAATTGTTACCCTGAAATGTAATTTGTAGTAATCAATTACAATATATCAATTTTATGTTGTAAAAAAATGTATTTTGCAATGTTTATACAAATCACTTAAAAATTTTTTGTTGCTAAAAATGACATTTCTTGTAGTGAGAATAAGCCTTCTCCCTGCAATTTTCCAATTTAAGTTTGAGTATTAAATTATTATTAATTGAAAGAATAAGTGAATATAGGGCACCAATAAACTTTGTTTTGAAATTTAATGGAAACTCAACGAGGAGAGATAATGTGGGTTGGCTATCCAACCATAGACAGTTGCAATTACACTTTCTATCTTCTCAACTACTACTTACACCCTAAACATGTTTATTATGTATGTAATAAAGTAGCATAAAAAAATGTTGCAAATCTTTCCATTGTTACCAATAAATTTGCACATATGGAGTCCCTACATGCATATTAGACGTTTGACTTTTAATCAGTAGGTCATAATTTCAATGTGGAGTTAAGGGACAGTGACAGCATATATTAGGATCAGCCACCCATTTCGCAATGCATTTTCATATTTATATATTTATTGCTTTTTGTCGTGGATGTGGTTGGTTTTGGATAATATTTCGGCTGTGATGCGATGCACCGTGGAGATAATTATGGGTTTGTTTGTTTAAACTGAAATCGGAACGAGTAAATTCCAGATTGAATTAAATTTTAAATTCGATTAAATCTCGTTATTTTCCGAAGAAATTCACTCTACTTACTGTAATAAAGATCTGTTAGATGCGAATTTCTCCGCAATTTCATCAACTGTAGCTTCTTTAGTTGAGGATAGATCCGAAATCCCACTCTCTTCCTCTTGATCTTTTCCTCTTTTGGAAGCACAGTTTCAATCATTAAGATTGCAATTATTTTCGTTTGAATTCTATGTAATTTACTGATTACAATGACAATTATTTTTGTTTTTCTATCGCACATTCGAGGCCCTTTTTTTCAGTGCTATATATATTTGATGCATTGAAATTGACTGGCACTACAACATGGGAATAATTCGACTACCATTACATGACTGCCCATTATAAAATATAAATGTTACTGTTTTTTTTTTATTATTATTTTTGTTTACTAAAGTCATAATTAAAATTTTCTGTAAAAAAAATTCATATTTAAATCTCTCAATCTTCTTCTTTAAAATGGAAGACTATGGATTTTACCGCCATGAAGATTATAGATGGTATGGTTGGCACTGGTAGGATTAAAACTGAATTAAAAGCTGAGAGTAAATTTTATTATTAATCACTTAGCTTATACTCAAATATCGTTTGAGTCACTAAACTTTATTTTTCACAATCAACTCACTTAACTTTGTTAAGTATATCAAAACTAATTACCTTAAAAGATTTCATTTAAAGTTTGATAAAAAAATGTCATGACTGTCATATCATCTGACACAACAATTAACTAAACCAATATAATTTCATGAAAGGTTATTAAATTTTCACCCAATTTTCAAATAAGTCACTAAACCTTAATTTGTTACTAAAAGTTCACTAAAATTTTTTAAATGTATCAAATTTGTTCACTTTAATAAATTTCATCCAAAATAAAAATTAAACAAAATTTAAATATTGAACTCAATCAAATAATATCCATTTTTTTTAATGTAACCAAAAATCCTATCATATCCACAAAAAATTAAATAAACCCATACACACATTTAATAAATATTTATTTTTCCTGAAATATTATTACTTTTATTTATATTAAAGAGTATAAATTTTTAAATATTTATTAAATATTACTGATTTTATTTATTTTAAAAACATAAATATTTAATAAATAATGCTTTAATTAAATTGTAAGGACTTTATCTTTTATTTAAATAAACATAATAATACTTCAAGAAAAATAAATATTTATTAAAATTGTGTCTGCTTTGGGTTTATTTAATTTTTTCTTTCGATTCTCTATGAGGTATGAGAGGATTTTTTGCTACATAGAAAATCTGAAAATGTTTAATTGAATTCAATGTTTAGATTTTATCTAATTTTTATTTTGGATAAAATTTATTAAAATGACCAAATTTAATATATTTAACAAATTTTAAAGATTTTATAGTGACAAATTAAAGTTCAATGACCTATTTGGAAATTAGGTGAAAGTTTAATGATCCTTTATGAAATTATATTAGTTTAGTTAGCCAATGTGATAAATAATATGACTGATGATGTGGCAATCATGTTATTTTTCTATCAAAATTTGGATGCAATTTGTTAGAGTGACTAATTTTGATATACTTAACAAACTTCAGTGACTTGATTTGAACAAATTAAAATTCAATGACCCAAATGAGATTTGAGTATAAGTTCAGTAGCTAATAGTGAAATTTACTCTGAAAGCTGATGGATGTAGCTTTCATCGTCATGTAGTTAGGACTTATGACTAATTACCTAAAAAAGAAAAAGTAGTTAGGAAGTAACTAACGTATATATGTTCAAAACAAAAAGGAACAAATCAAAGGTTGTTGGACTAAAGATATAAGGCTCAGGACCATTCACATGTTGAAAAGACCTGGTCATCGAAATGCCAAGATGGCAATATGTTCTAACAAACTCCTGTTTCATAAAATTAAAAAAAAAAAATATAAAGAACTCGAATTTATATTGAAATTAATAATAATAATAATAATAATAATAATAATAATAATAATAATAATAATAATAATCTGTCTCACATGATGATTCGTGTTAGTCTTTTTTAAATACAAATAAATTTTTATGTATTTACTTTTTATTTTTTGTTATTTAATTTTCATCATATTGAATTTGAAAAATTGTTCAAAATAAAAAAATAATATTAATACTTGCAACAAAACTTACATAAAATTTTTTAGGTGAAATTTGTAAAGTTCTTTTTAAAAATAATTTAATAAAAATTTTAGTGAAAAATCCAAACTAATAAATTAATAGAGTATAATGTGAAGATAAGAAATACGTAAAAAAAAATTAAAAATGGTGCTTATAATTCAAATTTAATCGATACTTATACAATAGTAAAAATTCTATCAACATTCTTATTAAAATTGTCTTTCCAAAAAAACATCAAAATTTACTAAATTTTTTTTCA